CGAAACAGTAAATGCAACATATAATCATTTTCTAGACATACTCGCACGCACAGACCGACACATGTATTTACACAATTTACACATGTAGGCCTATATATATATATATATATATATATATATATATATATATATATATATATATATATATATATATATATATATATATATATATATATATATCCTAATATATAATGGCCCACGTGCGCACTTCTCTCTCTCTCTCTCTCTCTCTCTCTCTGTCTGTCCGTAAAATATTTTCGCCGGACATCACATCAGAAACTGCAGCGATATATGAAGAACTTTATACGGACTTATGTTAGATGTTTTAAATGTATAACCACAATTATATTTAAAGAAGAAAAATAAAAAATAAAGGCGTATTCGAATGTAGAAAAATAATTTTAATTATGCAACCGGAAAAGTGTTTAAACTTGGGACAAGAACGCATTTAACAATGACGTCGCTTATTGTTTACACTAAAAATAAACCGGGAGTGATCTCCCCTAAACTTTCTCGAATATTCTTATATAAAATAACAGGGGATGGGAACTCGGGCTATAGACATGATTTTTAATCCATTTTAAATACTTAAAGTTTTAAAAATAGAATAAAATCTCGTAGACAAATTAATTGCACACCAAGTGAACGTGAAATAAAAAAGCGCATAATAGTGCGCAATATTATTATTACTTTTAAAATTTACATTAGTTTTTTGAGAAATCGGAAGTAGCGTAAAGTACTACTTCCAGTCAACGGAAATGACTCAAAATTTAATAGAAGGTAGAGAATTAGATCTTTTACTTACGTATGAAATTTCATTTATCTATCTGAAATAGTACTCAAGTTATAGGCTTTTGAAAAATTCAAAGTAGGAAAAGTACCAGTTCCGGTTATCGGAAATGGCTCAAAAGTTGATACGGATCTACGATTTTGATTTAATACTTATATATGAAATTTCATCAACCTAGCTGTAACGGTACTCAAGTTATCGTGTTTACACACGGACACACACACACACAGACACACACACACACACAGACACACAGACATACGGACAAGATTGCAAAATTATGTTTTTCCGTATCAGTGAGATGCAAAACGTCGAGATTTGCAAAAATCTCGATTTTTTTTTTTGCACGATTACAAGACTTTCTCTATACTTCGTATATACGAGAAAGTAAAAAGAGCACGAAACTGATGATGTCATCTTCCGAGTTTAGAATAAAAAGAAATGAACTATGTCATTTAAATATGATTTAGAGCTATGTACGCCATGAAACGTATACAATACGATTTTCTAGGCCTAAACTTTAAAAAATTATTTTATCTATTTGGATTCTAGATCTAGAGATTCTAGATCTAGAGATTCTAGATCTAAATCTAGATCTACGGAAAAACTAGACTTACACAGATGTAGACCCTACCTAGATCTAGAATCTATTCAAATAATACATTTCTATACTAAAATATTTCAGGCTTTAATTACTTTATTGAAATCTTTGTTTATCTATGCAATTTGCTAATCTCTATATTATATAAAGCTAAGTTGTAGTGTGCCCGATAGGGCACTTCCGGCGCCGCAGGCGCTTCAAATTTGGCAGGATCTTGCCTTGGGGCGACAGAACACGGGGGCCGGTTGGCCGAAAAGTCTACGATGAGGGGGTCAAAACTGACCTCGACTGACCGGCGCCTTATATTGGCGAATTAATTAAGCATTCAAATTCTCAATGTTTTCGAAAGCCTAAGCGAAGCTGGGCAGCATGCCTAGTATATATATATATGTAAGCGAATTTCAACATCTTGGCATATGTAACATTTCTGTAATCTGACATAACCTATAACCAAATAGACATACGAACTAGTTTAGAAAACATGGTCTGACTATCTTAACTTTTGATAATGTTAAGTCCACACAAACTTAGTACGGTTTTAATCAGAGTATATATGTTCATGTAATATTTCAATGTACCCTAACCATAAGGGCTGTCTAGACAGATACGTCACACCGACAAAGTCATTTCTCTTAATCCTTTAAGACGTCCCATCAAAGGAAATCAAAATGGAGATCAAATATTTCCTTGACCAAATAATACTGTCTCTTAGGTCGCCGTGACTTTGTGTGCTAAAACCACCGTTGTCCGGCCCGCGGCCCGGAGCCGGCATGTCATCACCATCTTCATCTCCGTGGGCTGCTTATGGACACAATCATACCACTGTACAGTACTCGGTTTTCGGCGATTCCTCAAAGCTGGGCCCATGACATTCCGGCTTCTTCAACTTCACTGACAACTGATATTTTCAAAGTTTGTTTTGGTCTACCAACTTTCATCTTTCCATGGGGGTTCCAGTCTAGTGCCTGTCTGGTGTAGTTTGTTTATTCGAATATCAAGCCTGCAACTGGTATTAGAGGCGTAGCGACCCTTCCCGGCGCCCGGGGACATATGTACCCCCCTGCCCACCCATCGCTACGCCTCTGACTGGTATTATTTCTTTTTTAACCAAACTTAAACTTTTGCTTGAATCTTTTTTAACCTATTACATTAAAAATGCATCTTATTTCAATTATCTTAATTTTGATTGACCGGTAGACATATGAAACAACAATATCAAAGTATTAACATAATTCCCAGAGGCGTAGCGAGGGGGGGGGGGCGGGGGGGGACATATGTTTCCGGGCGCCGACCTTAGGGGGGCGCCAAATTGAAAGTTTGAGGGGGGGGGTGCTAATGAAAAGTTCGAGGGGGGGGGTGCATATCGAAAGTTTGTCCCCGGGCGCCGGGAAGGGTCGCTACGCCTCTGATAATTCCATTGGTTGTTTTGTTTAAACTTTGTATTTTAAAAAAAAAATATTTTAGCATTTTGATATACCGGGTAATTACTAGAAGTTGAGCTAGGGCTCATATCGCGTGCGTGACTAAAATAATTTTTAATAATAAATACATAAAAACGTTTATAATTACAAGCTTTTATAAATGCACTAAAAAGAAGAAAATAATACAATTTTTATTAAATATAAAATAATTTTTAAAAATATAATAAGTCTGCGGTTACTTTAAATATAAAAAATTACTTTCTTTAAATATAATGCACTACTATTTATATCACTATAAATAAAAGCGTGGGCCGCTTGTTTAAATACTTATTATTATAGCGATCAATTAAGTCAAATTGAATGTAACGATGCATTGTCTTCATGTCTTGACCCACGTACCAATTACGAACCGTTTCTGTCAGTTAGAAATGCCTGCGATTGCGCTCGGCCGTTTCGATCTAGACAGACTGACGACAGAGGAAGCAAGTTAAATAAAAGCTTGTAAAAATTAAATATGCGTGAGCTCCTTTATCTCGTAAATGCCTATGTAATAGTAAGGATGGTGGTAGCAATGCCAGTGGTATAGGGCTATAGAAATGGTAGATTTGTGAGAAAACTGCTCGTTTTTTCTTTTCAATATTCTTAAATTATGCTGCTTTTTTAGGGTATGATAAATAAGTATTAAATTCAGAAGCTTGTTGATAAATTACACCTTCAGTTACTGAATATCGCTCAAAAGTTGACATAAATGTTTAGGACCTAATACACACAGATAAAACTCAGTTCCTCACAGAAGAGCTACTCAATTTTTCAAATTCAACCACACCTACACAGATATACTGACATGGTTACAAAACTGGGTGTAAAACGTATAACATTTTTTTTTCGCTCATTTACAATTGTACTCTTTATCATAAGAGAAAGTAAAAACGAAAAAGAAAGGTACCGAATAAGGTACGCTACTATGTTATAACAATACTAACAATAAAATAGGTTGTCGCCCTTTAAATTCTTAAAGTGATATATTGCAGCTAAACTTGACACTAGTTAGTATTAAGTACAACAGAAATTTTTTACAGATCGTTTATTTTCACTAGCTACTAACAGCAAAATTTTTCCAAAGCTCTTTCTCTCGAGTAGACCACATTATCATATAGCCTACTAGTACTACTAGTAAAGTATTCACTGGTACAGTAACAGAAATAATAGCTAAGACCACAAATGAAAAACCGATTAGTATTTTGGCTTTCAACGCCTATTTTATTTACTATACACATTTTAATTAATTATTATGACAGATAAATCTATGAATGAATGTAGGCATGCATAAATCGAATGAGAGCATCGAATGAATTAAAAATGAATGAATATATAGAGTGAGAATAGAATGTCAACGTTGACTATACCAAACTAAGTAACACTCTACGAACAAAAAACTTTGTATCCAAATGTTGTTGGTTTTTTTGGTATTTGAACTCTAACCCTAAGGGTCGTGATGTCAGGGTGTCGAGCTACCCATGGTCGAACTGCCCTGGATATGAAACGAACAAGGTCAGGGTTCAAATCGACAAGGTCGAACAGTCTACAGTGGACCTTCCACGATGGGAATGTAAGTAGTTCTGTACTAACCATACAGTACAGAAGTTTTCCTAGCAAAACTTGAATGGTTGTGATGGGTCCCATGTGTTCAATTGAAGCAGTTTTTGAAGAAATAGAACTACATATACAATTATTATTTTTACCAAATTCTGGTATTTTATAGCTGGTTATTAAGTACTTGAAATAAAAGCACTACCGAATCTCTTTCGTTTTACTACAGACAAAAACAAGCATTTACAAAACCAAATTAATAAAACAAAAATCCTAAGATTAAGTGTTACACATTGGGTAATAAACTTTTACCACAATGTAAGTTTGACACATTGGGTAATAAACTTTTACCACAATGTAAGTTTGACACATTGGGTAATAAACTTTTACCACAATGTAAGTTTGACACATTGGGTAATAAACTTTTACCACAATGTAAGTTTGACACATTGGGTAATAAACTTTTACCACAATGTAAGTTTGACACATTGGGTAATAAACTTTTACCACAATGTAAGTTTGACACATTGGGTAATAAACTTTTACCACAATGTAAGTTTGACACATTGGGTAATAAACTTTTACCACAATGTAAGTTTGACACATTGGGTAATAAACTTTTACCACAATTCTAAGATATTAAAAATCAGAAAAAATATGCACACTGTACTGTGAAAACTTTTCAAACAATATAAAAAATAGAGTCTATGTTAACACTGATGAAACACGTAGATCCATTCTAGGTACGTTAACTATCCAACCATGAAATCCACTGACTGACTAAACAGAATGATGTATATCAAGAATCAGGCAACAAATAAAGGATGACATATTCGACGGACATTTACTCAAATGGAAAAGCGAATGTTGAATGATAATTATACAGGAATCTGTAGCGTATTTACAGTAATCTCTAAAATATTATTGACAATAAAAGGTGAGATGACACTTGTAAAAATGCCAACTGAGCAATAGAGTTTCTCATACCGAGGTGGGTGTTGTTATTTTTTTGGTGCATAAATATTTGCTCATCACGTAATAAAATTATCAAATAACCAGAGGTAGACGGTACGTTTAAAAACAACACTGTAACAGCCAATGTGTGCATCAAGTATACAAGAGGGCAGTAACAATTCGTAACACGTAATATTGCAGGAGCTGGGTTGTACATACAAATTATTGTATGTTATATTCCACACAGCTCTCAAGCAACAAGTGGACATACAAAGCAAGGAAATCTTTTGTCACCCTATGATCCATCAGACAAATAAAGTATGAGTCGACTTGCCTTTCATAAACTACAATATTGCAGGCCAAATATTTGATTGCAAAAGTCTTGACATTTGTGTTGGTCCATGACTTCGGCCACAGCTGTGAGAGCAACCAAAGCAATGCCCTCTATCAACCAGCCGCGTCAAAAGACGTCGATGAACCCCTGGGCTTGTAGCGAGGACACCATCACGTAGACCACCCACACCACCGACACCAACAGACAGGTCAGATATTTCGGCGTCTTGGGACCTCCCAGTTCCGCTTTACCAAAGATGGTCATGTACCGTCTAACAACCAAGAGCAGAACGGTAAACACGGCACACACCGTAAAGACGGTCACGCTCAGTCCGACGGCCCCTGTAGGGTGGGTGAACTCTTTACCCTGGGGAAATACGGACAATACGAATCGTGTTAAGTTTCCTTTATCATTTTACCCTATACACTTTATATTTGAGTCATAAATCAATGTGTCCATTTATGATAGATTTCTATTCATATTTCAATTTACTCAATTTTATGATACATTTGTATTCGTATATAAATTTACCATTTATGATAGATTTCTCCATAAATTCTTAATTTATGATAGATTTTTATTCATATGAAAATTTACAATTTAATTTATCATAGATTTTTCATTGCATTCTTAATTTTATGATAGTTTTGAATTCATATGAAAATGTAACATTTATGATAGATTTTTTTTTGCACTGCACACATCAACGCATCATAATAAATGTCCTCACCTTTACCTTCCAATAGACACTAGAAATGAGCCAGGGTAAGCCCAGGCCAATGAAGACATTGATGCTGTTACTGCCGTTAATATTTCCAATGGAGGAGTCGGCCCATTTCTCGTTGACGGCGGCATATTTGGAGGCGAAGAGGTCTGGTACACCGGTACCGATGGCCACTAGAGTTATGGCTATGCAGGAGAAAAAAGTCTTGGTCAGTCGACTAACTGATAGTCACATTTCGTAAGTCCACCAAAGTCAGATATGGTATGCCCCTCCCCCCAGCGCCACTAAAAGGCAGACTTTGCCAGCGCCCTTCCACCTCCCCTAGCCCTAGCACCACGAAAGTTAGACTGTCAGTTGCCCCCAGCGCACTAAAGTCAATCTTCGTTAGTCAACTAAAGTTAGAATTGCCGGTTACCCCCACGGCATCACAAAAGTCAGACATAGCCAGTCCTCCTCTTCCCAGCTCCAAGTGCTAAGGAAGGCAGTCTTCGTAAGTCATCCACCGCCACCATGATAGCCACTGCTAAAATCGTAAGAAACTTCTACCTGAGCCACGAAGCAATGCGTCATACAAACACCGTCACTTTTTAATTCCTAGAATCTCTACCTGCATGGACCATACAGTAAACAAAAAGGGTGGCTGGAACCCCACGCTTGTTACATGTAGAGATCCCCAGAAACACAGCAAGCCTAGAAGTGTTGCCAAGAGCAGATACTGTGTTTTGTATCAGTAGAGTATCAAGAAAGACTGTGTGTTACCCATATCTTGTTTGTTGAACAGGTTTTTCTTCTTCTTCTTCGCTTGTAATTTTAATGTTGGAAGGATTTACCAATCCAACACATATAAGTTTTACGTATCAACTTGTTAAACGCCATATAGGACGTTGACTAAACCGGATTTACCGGTGATATACTTTGATGTGCCAACCTGTCAATCTTACCTGTGATGTAATTGGATGTGCCAACCTGCCAATCTTACCTGTGATGTAATTGGATGTGCCAACCTGCCAATCTTACCTGTGATGTAATTGGATGTGCCAACCTGCCAATCTTACCTTTGATGTAATTGGATGTACCAACCTGCCAATCTTACCTGTGATGTAATTGGATGTGCCAACCTGCCAATCTTACCTGTGATGTAATTGGATGTGCCAACCTGCCAATCATACCTGTGATGTAATTGGATGTGCAAACCTGCCAATCTTACATGTGATGTAATTGGATGTACCAACCTGCCAATCTTACCTGTGATGTAATTGGATGTGCCAACCTGCCAATCTTACCTGTGATGTAATTGGATGTGCCAACCTGCCAATCTTACCTGTGATGTAATTGGATGTGCCAACCTGCCAATCTTACCTGTGATGTAATTGGATGTGCCAACCTGCCAATCTTACCTGTGATGTAATTGGATGTACCAACCTGCCAATCTTACCTGTGATGTAATTGGATGTGCCAACCTGCCAATCTTACCTGTGATGTAATTGGATGTGCCAACCTGCCAATCTTACCTGTGATGTAATTGGATGTACCAACCTGCCAATCTTACCTGTGATGTAATTGGATGTGCCAACCTGCCAATCTTACCTGTGATGTAATTGGATGTACCAACCTGCCAATCTTACCTGTGATGTAATTGGATGTGCCAACCTGCCAATCTTACCTGTGATGTAATTTGACATCCCAACCAGACAGCCAAAGATGGCCGCCAGATCGTTAACAATGGCGGTCAGTAGTCCGACAGTTAGCAGAGATAAGATGAATGTGGGCCAACCCCCGCCCACTGAGGGAGGGGGGAGGAAGGCAAAGAGCACCTGTATATTAAGAAACGTTTTAATTTTTTTTTTTTAAATCTATCTGGCTAAATCTACTACTGCTTCCCACAACCCCCCCCCCCCCCGGCCATTTTGTAAAATAATGTTTCTAGTTTAAACGTTCATGCTTCTCATCTCATTATGTACAGTACATTTAACTTTATGGTGTTGCGTTGTTTAAAATTAAACGTGAGAGCGGGGAAAAAGATCCCCGAAAATCTTGCATGTTTTTTCGTGTTTTGTTTACAAGCTCAATTTTTGTCTGATTACGTGCAAATCATCCAATGAAAGAACCGCATTCCACGCGCGAGGAATTTTCTAGATCTTTAGCACAGTCTATAAATTAGGGAATTGCCTAGAACGTTTGCACAGTATGTAAATTAGGGAAATTCCTAGATATTTTGCACAGTATGTAAATTAGGGAATTTCCTAGATATTTTGCACAGTATGTAAATTAGGGAATTTCCTAGATATTTTGCACAGTATGAAAATTAGGGAATTTCCTACATATTTTGCACAGTATGTAAATTAGGGAATTTCCTAGATATTTTGCACAGTATGTAAATTGAGGAGTTTCCTATAACTTTGGACCCGTCTGTAAATGGAGGAATTTCTTAAATCTTTTCAACTTAAATGCTAGTAAGAAACTTTTGTGCTTTTGTCAAACTAAGCTTAAAATATGGTATTTGATTCCATGATATTGACTAAATCATCATCATTTCCTGATGGTGCCCAAGACACCTGGGGCAGGTGAAGTAGAATTCATCTTGTTTCAGAGACTTCAGCATATGAAGGTACCATCAGAGCTGGGTGGACTCAGGGACATTATAATGACTTGAACTCGGATTCAACCTGAGACTTGCGAGTTAGCAGTCTAGCTCTCTGGCGCTAGGCCACCCTGTCTATATTAACTACATTGTGATATTGACTAAATGCTATTGACTAAATGCTATTGACAAAATGACATTGACTAAATGCTATTGACTAAATGCTATTGACTAAATGCTATTGACTAAATGATATTGACTATATGCTATTGATAAAATGCTGTTGACAAAATGCTATTGATTAAATGCTATTGACTAAATGCTATTGACTAAATGCTATTCACTAAATGCTATTGACTCAATACTATTGACTAAATGCTATTGACTAAATGATATTGGCTAAATGATATTGACTAAATGCTATTGACTAAATGTTATTGACTAAATGCTATTGACTAAATGCTATTGACTAAATGCTATTGACTAAATGCTATTGACTAAATGATATTGACTAAATACTATTGACTAAATACTATTGACTAAATACTATTGACTAAATGCTGTTGACTAAATACTATTGACTAAACGAGACTGATGTGGAAATGACCTTCCAGAAAAACGTGATAAAGTGCAAGACGTAGTCCAGCACCGAGGCGGTCTCCAGATTCCCACCGTTGACACACATGGCTGCCCGGAACTGACCGGCGTAGGTGGTGGTGCCAAGCTTCATGTTCTCTAGGTTGGCCTTGGTTTTGTTGGCGATACGGTGGAGCATACTGTTGAACTCTGTGGGTGGGGGGGGGGGGGCGTGTCATATAAAGTACAACAGTAGGCTTAGTTGAACTCGGTGGAGTGGGGGTGGGGGTGTTACAAGCGAGTCATATACAGTACAATAGTAGACAGTTGAACTCGGTGGAGTGGGGGTGTTACAAGCGAGTCATATACAGTACAATAGTAGACAGTTGAACTCGGTGGAGTGGGGGTGTTACAAGCGTGTCATATACAGTACAACAGTAGACTTAGTTGAACTCTGTGGGTGGGGGGGTGGGGGGGGACAGGCGTGTCAGATACAGTACAACAGTAGACAGTTGAACTCGGTGGGTGGGGGGGACAGGCGTGTCAGATACAGTACAACAGTAGGCAGCTGAACTCGGTGGAGTGGGGCGGATGACAGGTGTGTTATATTACTGTACAACAGTATACTCAGCTAATGGTATTGTACAGCATCAGCCACTGAGTCGATGTTTGTCTAACTGTGACGCGAATCATTAAAAAAATCTTCCGAACACGTTTTGCCTCTAAGCAAAATTGTCTCCCGGCGGTGGGCCTACCAGCGACATAGCTCACACATATTTCGGTATATGGTTGTTAGCTGCATGACGTGGGAGACACGTGATGAGGGGGAAGAGGGGACAGTAAACAATGTTAAGTCCTACCCCTAGTCATGTCTTACACATATTAATAGGGAAAGATAAATGGCTTAATGGAAAGATAAATGGCTTACCTATATCAACAGGGAAATTTAAATGGCTTAGCCATGGTAACATGGAAAACAATAAGAGTCTACGTTAATCTCACCGTCATCTTTGATTATTGTGACGATAGTTTTGTCAATATGTCCCAGAGTAGCGCCCCCTGTCGGATTACTGAGCTCAACTTGGAAGCTTAACTCATCATCGCCCTTATAATGAAATATTTTGAACGACAATATAGCAATTGATTGAGAATTTTATATACATACATATATATATATATATATATATATATATATATATATATATATATATACATAGGTTATATATATAATACTAGATCACGTTTACAAATCCTCGCATATACGGAGGCCGTAACTATTATAACTGACAAATGTGTATCCCATTACACGAAACCAGAGTTTCTTCCAGGCATCTCTTCGGGGGGGCGAAGCCCCCCCCCCCCGAAAAATTTTTACCGCCCCCCCGAACGAAATGAAATTTATATAATTTATATAGAAAATATATACTTTTAACAGTGTCCGCCCCCCCGAAGAAAGTTTACCGCCCCCCCGAAGATTTCAAGTGCCCCCCCGGAGAAAAAAGTCTGGAAGAAACACTGCACGAAACATTCATGAGATCTGATGTCTGAAACTCTAAGGGGAATAACCAAAGAAATATCCCACACAATAAACTCTTAAGAATTACGCAGAAAATCAAACTGAAACAATTTTTCATATTGAACCGTGGTTTTTATTTTAATTTTTTTTTATTTTATGCTTGTCGTCCGCCCGACAGGCTTGTGTGGTTGTTAACAATATAATTTACGATTTGCCCTAATGACTGGGAGACTACCTAACTAATTAAATTAAAAACAGATGCGAGAAAAAAGAAGAAACGAACTGAAGCCGCTTACCTTGAGGTCGTTAACCATTATGGTGATAACTTTGCTGGTTTCTCCGTGGCCAAACGTGAGTACTCCCTCCACTCCCACGCAGTCTCGCTTGGATGTCGGCTTCAGGTCTCTGGCGCGCCAGTTGACAATAACCTCACCGTCAGCACCGTCCAACCTGTTGACCACAAGGTTTGCTGACGTGGCGCTTTCTTTGATGATGAAGCTGGGTTTGCTGAACTCTAAGTGTCCTGGGTCTGTAACATAGTATGGTATGCGCATTTAGAACTCTCCAGTACGACGTTTTGTCATATTAGAAAGTACATTATGCTGCATTTTATTTGATAAAACAGATTGTGGTTTACATAAAACACACAGATTGTGGTTTACATAAAACACATAGATTGTGGTTTACATTAAACACATAGATTGTGGTTTACATTAAACACATAGATTGTGGTTTACATAAAACACATAAATTGTGGTTTACACTAAAAAAACACATAGATTGTGGTTTACATAAAACACATAGATTGTGGTTTACATTAAACACATAGATTGGGGTTTACATTAAACACATAAATTTGGGTTTACATTAAACACATAGATTGTGGTTTATACTAAAATAAACACATAGATTGTGGTTTACATTAAACACATAGATTGTGGTTTATACTAAAATAAACACATAGATTGTGGTTTACATTAAACACATAGATTGTGGTTTACATTAAACACATAGATTGGGGTTTACATTAAACACATAAATTTGGGTTTACATTAAACACATAGATTGTGGTTTATACTAAAATAAACACATAGATTGTGGTTTACATTAAACACATAGATAGGGATTTAAATTAAACACATAGATTGTGGTTTACACTAAAATAAACACATAGATTGTGGTTTACATTAAACACATAGATAGGGGTTTACATTAAACACATAAATTGTGGTTTACACTAAAAAAACACATAGATTGTGGTTTACATTAAACTCATAGATTGTGGTTTACATTAAACACATAGATTGTGGTTTACATTAAACACATAGATTGGGGTTTACATTAAACACATAGATTGGGGTTTACATTAAACACATAGATTGTGGTTTACACTAAAATAAACACATAGATTGTGGTTTACATTAAACACATAGAATGGGGTTTACATTAAACACATAAATTTGGGTTTACATTAAACACATAGATTGTGGTTTACACTAAAATAAACACATAGATTGTGGTTTACATTAAACACATAGAGTGGGGTTTACATTAAACAAATAGATTGGTGTTTACATTAAACACATGCATTTGGGTTTACAATAAACACATAGGTTGTGGTTTACACTAAAATAAACACAAAGATTGTGGTTTACATTAAACACATAGATTGGGGTTTACATTAAACACATAGATTGTGGTTTACATTAAACACATAGATTGGGGTTTACATTAAACACATAGATTGTGGTTTACATTAAACACATAGAGTGGGGTTTACATTAAACAAATAGATTGGTGTTTACATTAAACAGTGTACACTAAGATAAACACACGATTGGGGTGTACACTCAGATAAACAGATTGGGGTGTAGACTCAGATAAACAGATTGGGGTGTAGACTCAGATAAACAGATTGGGGTGTAGACTCAGATAAACAGATTGGGGTGTAGACTCAGATAAACAGATTGGGGTGTAGACTCAGATAAACAGATTGGGGTGTACACTCAGATAAACAGATTGGGGTGTAGACTCAGATAAACAGATTGGGGTGTAGACTCAGATAAACAGATTGGGGTGTACACTCAGATAAACAGATTGGGGTGTAGACTCAGATAAACAGATTGGGGTGTACACTCAGATAAACAGATTGGGGTGTAGACTCAGATAAACAGATTGGGGTGTAGACTCAGATAAACAGATTGGGGTGTACACTCAGATAAACAGATTGGGGTGTAGACTCAGATAAACAGATTGGGGTGTAGACTCAGATAAACAGATTGGGGTGTAGACTCAGATAAACAGATTGGGGTGTAGACTCAGATAAACAGATTGGGGTGTAGACTCAGATAAACAGATTGGGGTGTAGACTGAGATAAACAGATTGGGGTGTAGACTCAGATAAACAGATTGGGGTGTAGACTCAGATAAACAGATTGGGGTGTAGACTCAGATAAACACACAGAGCACACGAGCACCTACTGTCGTCGTCCACGATGGTGACCTGGTTGATTGCCAGCTTGCCGATGACCACCTCCTCTGTGCTGCTGCCCTCGGGGTGATGGAACAACTTGACGAAAAAAAACTCGTCCGGCTCCCAGATGTCATCGTCCACTATCTCAATGGAAACATACTTGAGGGTTTCTCCGGGTTCAAAGGTCAACAGCTGCTTCATGGCTATATAGTCTCCCCCTGCTTCGGCCGTGCCGTCTATTGTTTCAACGCTGTGAGGTACAAAGGGGGAAACAAATGACCTTTTAATCGATAGATCACCTGCTCGAGAACTATCTAACGCTTGTTTTTTTCACGTTTGTGCCTGTATGAGAACGTCATTTAAGTATCGGGATGGTGACGTAACTTAAGTGCCTGAACGGTGACGTGATTTCCGTGCCTGTTTAGCGACTGAAGGCTGAAGACTTTGACTTTATGATGCTCTTTTAAACGTCTGGTAACACTGACCATCAAATTCTTTTTTCAACTCCTTGTAAAAGTCAAAATCTTGACGCCACCAATGCAACCGAATTGACAAGACTTGAAAAAAAACATGTTTGTGCATTGTCACTAACCGCTTTAGTACCAACTACATGTAGGTACTTGCGAAACACTGACACATCGTGTGCAGGAGACCTATGATTGCATGTCATGTAGGTACTAAAACACGTCACAAAAGCTATTAGTTGTTGCACGCTGTCAGCTATTACATACTTACCCAATTGTTATGGTTTTAGATAAATCGCCATGACGTCTGATCCCTACCCTCACTTGACCTTCATTCTCAAGGACGGTGCAGGTGGCCGCTGTAAACTCCACCATGGATTTCTTCAAGTGAAGCAGGTTTTGTTCCGAGGAGGCTGACAACCTGAGATCTTTGCCACCATCCTTGGACTCTGTGGCTCCAACGGGCAACCTCCGTGGCTCGGCTACGATTTCTTGGAGCATCTTTAAATTGGCCTAATATGACGAGACAAAGTCCAAAGCAAACGCCTGTAGCTCAGCTCAATCTCGACAAGGTTCAAAACGTTAGGAAACTTATGTCAAATGTGAAGACACTTAGCTTGCAAGATATTGGCTGACTGACTAAATATTAGGAACCGGGACATTAGCTGACTAAATATTTGAAACCTGGCCGTTAGCTGACTAAATATTTGGAACCGGGACATTAGCTGACTAAATATTTGCAACCTGGACATTAGCTGACTGAATATTTGCAACCTGGACATCTGCTGACTAAATATTTAGAACCTTGACATTAGCTGACTAATATTTGGAACCTGGCCATTAGCTGACTAAATATTTGGAACCTGGACATTAGCTGACTAAATATTTGGAACCTGGACATTAGCTGACTGAATATTTGAAACCTGGCCGTTAGCTGACTAAATATTTGCAACCTGGACATTAGCTGACTAAATATTTGAAACCTGGATATTAGCTGACTAAATATTAGGAACCGGGACATTAGCTGACTAAATATTTGCAACCTGGACATTAGCTGACTAAATATTTGGAACCTGGACATTAGCTGACTAAATATTTGGAACCTGGACATTAGCTGACTAAATATTTGGAACCTGGACATTAGCTGACTGAATATTTGAAACCTGGACATTAGCTGACTAAATATTTGGAACCTGGACATTAGCTGACTAAATATTTGAAACCTGGACATTAGCTGACTAAATATTTGGAACCTGGACATTAGCTGACTAAATATTTGGAACCTGGACATTAGCTGACTAAATATTAGGAACCTGGACATTAGCTGACTAAATATTTGAAACCTGGACATTAGCTGACTAAATATTTGGAACCTGGACATTAGCTGACTAAATATTTGAAACCTGGACATTAGCTGACTAAATATTTGGAACCTGGACATTAGCTGACTAAATATTAGGAACCGGGACATTAGCTGACTAAATATTAGGAACCTGGACATTAGCTGACTAAATATTTGAAACCTGGACATTAGCTGACTAAATATTTGAAACCTGGACATTAGCTGACTAAATATTTGGAACCTGGACATTAGCTGACTAAATATTTAGAACCTTGACATTAGCTGACTAAATATTTAGAACCTTGACATTAGCTGACTAAATATTTAGAACCTTGACATTAGCTGACTAAATATTTAGAACCTTGACATTAGCTGACTAAATATTTGGAACATGGACAAGATGTACTGTGGCATGAAAGTGTAGAACTAGTAAGCAAACAAATAGTGTAAAGAAGTACCAACATCCTCCACACTTGACCGTGGTTGCTCCAGCTTGGCCCCACCTGTGATCAACCTTGTGGCCTGGACCCTGTACCAGATGGAAGACTTGCGGTGTTTCTTTGAGATGTGGGTGGCCATTGTCTTAGCAACGTCATCTTCGTTCATGCCCAACTCTTTGGCCAGTTTCTTTAGTGGAGACAGACATTAAAGGCTTTAGCCTTCGTGAAATTTTGTTGATGTGTTACAGTCAATTTGAAACTTAAAGTACATTAAAACATTTGAAAAAATTAAAAATCTTTAGTTTCATAAGGCAACAATGAAATTTTATAATAATAGCTAATTCTACTCACTCGCGCAAGTTCCAAAAACTCAGTTGAATCGATTTTCTCATTCTTGTCTAGATCTAGAAAATAAACCGGGAGTGATATTCCCTAAACTTTCTCGAATTTTCTTATATAAAACAACATGGGATGGCAACTAGGGATATAGACAGGATTTTTAATCCATTTTTACTTTCTCGTATATATGAAGTATAGAGAAAGTCTTGTAATCGTGCAAAAAAAAAAAAAGAGATTTTTGCAAATCTCGACGTTTTACATCTCACTGATACGGAAAAACATAATTTTGCAATCTTGTCCGTATGTCTGTGTGTGTGTGTGTGTGTCCGTGTGTAAACACGATAACTTGAGTACCGTTACAGCTAGGTTGATGAAATTTCATATATAAGTATTTTATCAAAATCGTAGATCCGTATCAACTTTTGAGCGATTTCCGATAACCGGAAGTGGTACTTTTTCTACTTTGAATTTTTCAAAAGCCTATAACTTGAGTACTATTTCAGATAGATAAATGAAATGTCACATGTAAGTAAAAGATCTAATTCTCTACCTTCTGTCAAATTTTGAGTAATTTCCGTTGACCGGAAGTACTAATTTACGCTATTTCCGATTTCTCAAAAAACGCATGTAAATTTATAAAGTACTAATAATATTGCGCACTATTATGCACATTTTGTCTGAGATCATTTGTCCTGAGATCATTTGTCCGTGAGATATTTTGTCCTGAGATAATTTGTCCTGAGATCATTTGTCCTGAGATCATTTGTCCTGAGATCATTTGTCCTGAGTTCATTGTCCTGAGATCATTTGTCCTGAGATCATTTGTCCTGAGATCATTTGTCCTGAGATCATTTGTCCTGAGTTCATTTGTCCTGAGATCATTTGTCCTGAGATCATTTGTCCTGAGATCATTTGTCCTGAGATCATTTGTCCTGAGATCATTGCCCTGAGATCATTTGTCCTGAGATCATTTGTCCTGAGATCATTGCCCTGAGATCATTTGTCCTGAGATCATTTGTCCTGAGATCATTTGTCCTGAGATCATTTGTCCTGAGATCATTTGTCCTGAGATCATTTGTCCTGAGATCATTTGTCCTGAGATCATTTGTCCTGAGATCATTTGTCCTGAGATCATTTGTCCTGAGATCATTTGTCCTGAGATCATTTGTCCTGAGATCATTTGTCCTGAGATCATTTGTCCTGAGATCATTTGTCCTGTCACCTAGTAGTCAGTCATTTAGTGACTGTATTATGTCACGGGGGATCGTTGTAAAGTGTTGGCTTCGGTTTTCGTCGACTTCTTAATTATATATTTTTTCCGTTTTCGTGGTTTGCCTCGGATTTCGTTGGCCTTAGGATTAACATTCCATTCAAATTTACGCGTGATTTCAAATTTTAACCATTCCTTAAGTGTCTAGCAATACAATCTATTGCTTTTAGAAAACGATACGTCTAACGTGGTGGGAATTGCTTCATTCAATTCCACGTTTAATTATGCTTAATATGTAGAGAGTTGAAATATTTTTCAACAAGTAGGGGGCCTATTAGTTTCATATTTTCATTATACTTAACTGCATTAAACAAAACAATATTATCATTAAGAAATACTATATTATGTAGTTGTTAGCTTATAACTATACACACATACCCAGGCCTATTTCAAGGTCGGCCGTTACTCCTACTCGCTTATTGGCACACACGAATCCTACGTCGGCCAAATACGAGAAAACAATGAGCAATGGAAACATCAAAAGTGTGAGAACGGCCTCCCATATTTCCACGACTTTAGGCGTGATGACGAGAACGACCAATATCAGCCACACATAAGCCCAAATGCCGAATATGCTGGTCACGGCAAACACACCAAGGTGCTTGACTCTTCTGGAGGGCAAAGGTCGTTAGTCAAAATAATTAACCGTTAGATGCGATTTTAAAAATGTAATAAAAAAATAAAATCATAACTAGATTCATAAACTTTAAGTAGGTCTTAATTTGAGTTGGGGGTGGGGGGGGGGGATTAGTAACTGTTATTGTCCTGAGGGGAGTGGGAGATGTGTTTATGCGGGTGTTTTTTATATCTCAGGTTGTGAGTGCTCACTTTACTAAGAAATCTTTACCGTGACAGTGTTATTCAGAGTTTCTTCCAGGCATCTCTTCGGGGGGGGGGGGGGGGGGGGCGAAATTTTTTTACCGCCCCTCCGAACGAAATGAAATTTATATAAGTTAAATAGAAAATATATACTTTTAACAGTGTCCCCCCCCCCCCCCGAAGAAAGTCTACCGCCCCCCGAAAATTTCAAGTGCCCCCCCGGAGAAAAAAGTCTGGAAGAAACACTGGTGTTGTTGTTTTTGTGACTATGACATCATGTAAAGGCTAGCTTAAGTTTCCTGGTGGGTTGGGTTCGTCGCTTTGGAGTTGTTTGGACAAACAGAAAGGCAACACTTCGCAAAAAATTGACGCACATAAATCAAGGTATTCAAAAATTGGTTCTACTTTTTTGTTCAGCTATAGAAGGTTTGTATAGTTGAACACCAAAACTAAACTGTAAGGTCAGTATTGAGATTTTCATAAACGGGGCGCATGGTGCACCGTGTAGCACCATCTAAGTGGGGGTACGCCAAAATGTAAAGAGGATCTGGGGGTTACACTAAATTGCCTATAGTTTCAGTACATCGTTGGCGAAGTGGGGTGGTTAAAGCACCGGGTGTTACCCCACCTAGTGACGCCACTGGCGTAGCCAAAAATGGCAGTTGTCACGCGATAAGGTTATTTCCGCATTCAATGTTTATTATTTCAAAATTTTCGAAAGTCATCAAACCACAGTTTTAACTATACAGCAAATATGTGTGTGTGTGGGGGGGGGGATATCTCACCCCTCCCCACAACCACCACCCCCACATTTCTTACTGCAATAGCAGGTGTGACGAGTGAACCAAAGCAAAGCTAACCTGGTTTCTCCGGCAGGGATGCAGCCAACTGCAAAAGCTGTGATAAAAAACATGTTAAAGGCCGCTGACCCCACGATTGTCCCTGGGCCCAGCTCCCCAGCCTGGAAGGAGTGACCGCACGTCTCTATGACGTTGAGTAGAATCTCCGGTGCGCTGGTTCCAAAAGCTAAGAGGGTCAAATTCGCCACCGTTTCGTTCCATACCTGTTGAGTATAGACACCTGGTACAGCTATCACACTATACTCACTTAAAATTTCATATATAGACCTAACTGTCTAAAAACTACTAAAACTATTATTTCAATACCCCTTTTTGTAGATCTGTTATTTGTACATTCAATTCAAAGGAAACTTTAAAAAACGTTTGTTAGTTACGTATTTTTCCTAACAAAGCAAATATACATTGTATTTACTTGCATAATAATGAATTATAGACAGAAGTGAGGAAGGAAAATTAAACAAGCGTGACTTTATGGATCAACCCCCCCCCCCCCCCCCCCCCCACGGCCCACACACACCCTCAACACCACCTCTTAAATAGCCGCTACTGAAGGCCTGCTTAGGCAACAAACAATGTTAGAAAAGAAGCGATTGAATTTATTCATTTTGTATTCTAAAATATTGTTAGCCAATATTAGCCTACCTTAACTTCGACCAAATTAAAGCCGTCTCCATGTGGACCGGGAAGATAAATAGTCTTGCTTGTGATATGGTCGATACTACACATAAAAGCCTCCGATACTAAAGCAACCCCGAAGAAACACCACAACATTGCAACTAAATAAAGAACTGCCCGAATATATGTGTTCCAGGTGTACTCATTGATAGCGGGAAGTAGAAGGCCCTTATCACTACATAAATAATGGTCAATATTATACGTAACGTTGGACATTGTCGTCAGGTTCTTGTGTCATTAGTAGATAGACTCTATCGACGCCTGCAGTTTGGCCGGAAGTTTATAATTCATGATCTCTTTTGTTTCTTTTAATTCTCCTAGCCTATTTTTCAGTAAAGCTAGAATCGAGATCGAGATCGATATAGTCTGCCAGATAGAATTATATCTTTTATGTGTGCCTAGGTCTATCCAAAAATGAACACTTTTTGTAAAAATCTGTCCACTTTTAAAATGTGACTTCCGCTAAAATTGTAAACAAAATAAACGTGAAACGTAGATCTAGATCTAGATCTAGGCTAGATTTAGATCTAGAAACAAGAAAATCAAGATCGAAATCTAGAACATCTAGAATCTAGACTAGATCTAGATCTAGATCTCTAGTCCTAAATCTCGGCTTGTGACTAGGTCTCTAGATTCTAGTCTAGATCGAGTTGGAGGAGTAACGCCACGGCTTAAACTTAATGCTTAACTGGAAGATCTAGACTAGATCTAATTCCTAAATTCAAATCTAATTTAAATTAAAACGGTAATTATTAAATAAAATTAATAAATTGGCAAAATTGGTAATCTCAATACTCAATACGATGGTAAAACTCCATTTTAGCGTATTTTATTCCCCCGCTTCACGTTCACCTCCAGTTGAGCGTATTTTATTATAAACACAACCGAAACACACAAAAACGTTAGGAAAACACTAGATCTCCTTATTGGTAAAACCTTAGTTTAGCGTCGGAAATTATCGGGTAATGTTTGTTGAGTTTCGGTAACTAGAGACCATGGTTTATTTGACCATTGAAATATAAATAAATTGAAAGTCAAATGTAGTAAATTAATGTTTTAATTTTTTAAGTTTAATCGACAAAAGGAAACAAGAATAAATATAGATCTTATAGTAGATTTAAATTAGTAGATCTAAAAATAAATAAAAACATATATTAATATAAATAATGAAGTCAAATATAATAATTTAATGTTTTTGGCTTGCAGCGGATTTGCGACCATTAATTAATTAGATCTAGATCTAGTTAGATATCTAGCTGCTAGGCAAAGTTAAAAAAATCTAGATTACGAAAATAGTAAAAATGATTACAAAATGTAAAAATGATTACAAAAATAAATCTATCCAAATTTTAAATATTATGTATAAAAATAAAAGATGACGCCAAATAAAGTATGGTTTACAGTACTTCCGGTGAATTCCGGAAGTGTGTGACAGACTTTGACATTGTTTTACTGTTTTTTACTGCTATACGATTCCGGAATAATAACCGACCCTAAACTAAGGTTTTACCTCCTTATTTTTTATGAATGTGATTTTTAATTAGAAAATGTAAAAAAAAAGCATTAGAACTGTTCCAATTAAATATTGTTTGATCGTCAGAAGGAGAAAAATCCTTACACAGTCGAGGGTTCACCATAAGTTCACATTGACTTTAATTATCAGCATACGTCAAAGCTCGGGCAATAGCTGTTTGAAATTGTGTTGGCCTCAGTTTTGGGGTCATTGCAAGTTCATAAATGTTTATATATAGTATCATGCCTGGGAGATACTTGTAACAATACAAACTTAACCGCCTTGCAATTGTCACATTGTGAGTACGTACTTCACCCATTGCCATGAAAATTCTAACTGACACACGAACATAGATCTAGCACATTCAATATTCTAAATTTGGATTTTTCTCAAGTTTTGACAAAAGTTAATTATCAAAATCTAAAACAAAGTCAGTCTCTTTTTTTTTATTCATTTTTATTCATTTGTTAAAACAAAAATACAATACAAATAAATAAATCGTGTTTTCCTAATGTTTTGGTGTGTTTCGGTTATTATAATAAAATACGCTCAACTGGAGGTAAACAAGCAACAGAGAATAAAATACGCTAAAATGGAGTTTTACCCAATATGATTATTTATTGTTTTTTTATTTTTGGTAATCTTAATAATAATAGTTAATACTTATCGTTTTACTAAAACTTGTCTTTTAGGTAGATCTAGAGTCTAGAGATTCTACGTAAATCGGCCGAGACTAGTCTAGATCTAGTAATGTGAAAAAAGATGACTCATTAAATTTTAGTCATTATTTCACATTTTTAGGAGGATTTAAATCTATGTTTTGAAAGTTACAAAAATGTTTCAAAGTTTCATTATTGTAGATCTACCTGTTTACAAAACTTTTCAGTAAGAAATAAAGACGTGATGATTTCATCAGATGCAGCCAAGAGCATTTACTTTAGCAGTCATCTTATTTAATTTTTTTTTATGATAAAATTATTGTTAGAGATTCTGTGGAAACCACTCTAACTTAAAGATGACCGCTGTTTACATATTATATAACAATCTTTCTTGCAAACACTGCTGTTTAAAGTTAATTTCTGGCCTATATTTATATATTTAGCCATTAATTTTGGTTTATTATTCAGTTATCTCTAATCTTTGACACAAATATATCACAAAATACTTTTATTAAAGCCTTAACAATGAGGCAACTTTTTTGCACATTACTAGCCTCAGCAGATTTCATGCACCTAAAACGTCTAGACTAGACTCTAGTTACTAGTATTACTAGTAACATTAACAGTAAAAGAAAGGTTACTAAAGGTGACTCATTAAAATTAAATTTGAGTAATTATTTTTCTTTTATTTCGCAATTTTACAAGGATTTATGCATGACAATTCATGTACCTGTTTTTAAACAAGTTTATTAAAACTTTTCAGCAGTAAATAAAGATTAGTGATGTTTTCATTAGATGCAAATAAGCTATCTTTTAGGGGGAAACCACTCTTATTTACAGATGGTAGCTTTTTGTATAGTAAATTTTGCTTGCAAACACTGCTGCATCAAAGTAATTACTGGCCTTTGATATTTTTAGACATTGCATTTAGTTTATTATGAAATTATCTGTGTTTGACGCAAATATATAAAAGTATACTTGTAAATTAAGCCATTTTGAATGAGTCACCTTTCTTTTACATTATTAGCTTCGGCCAGTTTATGAACATAAAACCATAGATTATCTAATTAATAACAAGTAATAATAACAACTACAGTATAGAGCTAGATCTAGTAGCAATTTTAAGTGCTAATATTATAAATCAATTATAGTCCAATATATCATATTTAATTTTTATTTATATTTAATATTTGGTAATCTATCGTTTTAGAAACAATTTGCCAGATTTTACTGTCATAATTTGATTGATTACCAAATATTTAAAATATTTATCTGCAATTGAGCTATAGGTATTCGTACAAAACCCAGACACACTATTGAAGTCTATTTAATTCTATACTCCATATTCGCTTTACCTGTCCATAGATGACTTCATGCTTATTTTTTCCAGCAAATTGTTACTCCATCCACCCTTTCCCATCGTCTCTCACCAAAATAAGTAAATTTATCCCTATTATTAAAATTTGCCTATTTACAATATTCCTTTTACAAAGGAAGCTAAATAACCTTTAAATTTCAGGTTGTTTTTTTTTTTTTTTTTCAAAATTTTTAATGCAAAAAGAGTGATTTTGGAATTTTTTAACCCTGCTCTATTAGGCTTTGTCACACATTGTCATCAAAATCCCCAGATATATGACACTGTTAGTCCTTAAATAATTTGATACTTAAGTCATGTCTATTTTGAGGTATAGAGTAGACCTACTACATAACTTTTCAGTATCAGCAGTAGTTATACAAATATTAAATGGGTCTAATGTTTGGTGTAGCCTATAACAAAGTAAAGTTACAGTTTTTTTTTTTTCTAATTATTGCAGTCCAACATATTACAATGTAGGTTGTTAAAAGATCAGCTTTTTGCAATGAGTAGACATTTAAAATTAATTTCTACCAAGTATTATTCATGCTTTTCATGTTAGTAATAATTTTACTTAGTAATTAAAAGTGTGAGATATTGCTCAATTTTATGATTAATTAAGTTATTGATAATAAATTAGTGTTAAGTACACAAAACATTGTTTTATTTTTGCAATTACTGTTTAAAGATTATTGATTAATTTAACATGAATTTTATATATGATTTAAATATATGACAAAAATTATGAGACTCAAATGTTATAAAAGTGTTGAAAATTTACATGCATACCACTCTGACAGCTCTGCATAGTTTATTAGTTTAACATACCTAAATAGAAGCAGTCATAGGTACAGGTGATAAGGCTGTAACTCTAATTAAAAATGCATTTGGAAATAATATGCTTAGAGATTTTATCTTCAATCATCAAACACTGAAAAAACTAAAATAATTTGAAAGCTAGTGTAAAAACCTATTTCAACATTATAAATTTAAACACTTTACAATATATTTTACTTCATCTGCCAAAGAATGTAGATGTGAAAATACCATAGATATATTTAATAATATAAATAATGGTTTTCTTCATGATCTGTAATTTTCACTGAATTACTTTTTTTAGGATGCACTCATAGTTGACATCTTTTATTATGCAGTATATCATTTTTTTTTTTCTAACTTAATATTTTATTACCAGAGTTTTCAGAATATATAAAAAAAATATTTTTGAAAGAACTTTTCCTACTGTCCACTGTGTGCACTGCTTGCAAAAACTCTTGAGAAAAAAAAACACCTCATCAAAAACAATAACTCACAAAAGTTATATTAAAAAAAAAAAATTTAATACCTGATTTAAAAAATAATATTTCCAATCACAGCATTAAGATAGACTGATACTATAGAAAATAAAGCAATGGAGGATAATTAGTTGCACCTGAAATGGCTTTAAGTTTTAGAAAAAGATTTCATGATTTTGTTTTGTAGGTTAGGAATTTTCAAATGAACTTGGAATATGAGATAAACACAAAATTGATATCATGTAGGCCTATGGATTATTTAAATTATTATTTTAGATTTGTATTTTAAAGCGCACATGGGTTCTTAGTGTATATAATCATAGAGCATAATTGATTTGTACAAACTTGATTTTTTTTCTACATTTCTTGTGATGTGCATCAGTCTAAACACTTTACATGTAAAATTTTAACAATAATACTGAATTATTTCTAAACGGAGTCAGTATCTAAATTGTGTGTGCACATTTTTGTTATTATTTTTCAATGTTGCCATTTTGTACAATGGTAAAGCTTATTTCCTATTGTTTGTTTCATTCATTACTACATGCATGGACTCATTTTTAAGTAAAACAGTAGTTAGTGAGCAGGTTCAGTTCAAATATGGAGAACAGTATTAGCTTAGCATGTGTAGAGTAGGCCTATGTATAAAATATGTAGCATTTAGCCCATGAAGTAAGCAAAGCTTCTACAGTTAACTATAACAAACTAGAATATAAAGCCTTTGGTCTAACTGGTGATTCTGTTCAGTTTTAAAAAATTATTCGAGGGTCATTCATAGATCATTTGGATTAGTGTGGCATACTTCTGCATTTTTTATAGTATCTTTAATAATGAATTTCAGTCATATTTCTTCAATGAATTTTGTTAAAGAAAATTCAACATATCTAAATTCCAGTGGTAAATAATAGCTGATGTATGCCCTATTTGTTGCAGTCAAATAGATTTATTGTTCGTAGGTAAAGGAAACTACTTAATATTATTGACAAAAATCAAAGAAACCTTTTATATCCCTTATCAACATTACTGTCGTATATTAAACACTTGCAATACATAAGATTTAAGAATTACGGTTAGCATTGCGGATAGGGTAAACAAGCGTCGTATGAAGTTTTTGTTTCTGTCGGTATTAGGTATTATGGTTAAGGTCGGGGTTACGATTACTTTAGTCTCAGAGTCAAGTGATAGCAGCGAAAATTAAATAGCATGCTTTATTTCAGGAGAATATAGAAGTTTCTATATGTTGTATTTTACATTGATTAATAATCTTATGTTACATTGTAATGAAAGGTTTCTAAAGTTTGCCAAACTAATAATTTAAAATAATAGTTGTTTAGTTGAAATGAGCTGCACATGAAAATTAAAAGACTTTTTTTTTCAAAATAGACTGTTTGCTGCCCTCTCTAGGATTGAGTGGAATCGTCAGTACAGTGTGTCGCAGTTGTGACAGCCAAACATCATCTGTAGCTACCGTACAGTGTGTCTACATTGTGTCGCAGTTGTGACAGCCAAACATCTTCAGTGTCGACTTCACAGTGTGTCGCAGTTGTGACAGCCAAGCGCCATTACTATTGTCCGCCCATTTTCTTACAAGGTCCACAAATATTATTTCAGTTTCTGCAACTCACATCGATAGCTGTTGTTCATCTGGCACTACGTGGCGTGAATAGTATGGGCCTTAATGATTGCCAGGTTTCAACATATTACCTAAGGCGGTTCAGTTTAATTGGTTAGTTCAGGTACCATGGTTAAAACGTTTAGCACATAAATGCCTCCTTAAAATGTTGCATATTTTGAAACATTGGAGCAACGAGAAGCCAAGAGAACAAGGACAAATCAAGCTAGAAGCGCAGCAAATAGTACTCAGAAGCAAGCTCGCTTAACGGCAGATAATTTCAGGAAAATCAATAAAATAGCTAATGAAAATACTTAGGAGAGAGAAGAGCGACGATGCTAAAAGATTAAGAAATAGGCTGAATGAAAGAGAAGATTATCAAACGCAGTTTAAAATGATGGCCCTCAACTACGAAGCAAACAATAGCTACGACAATAACCCACACATAATGATTGGGGAATGGCTCACAAAAATGAACTTGAGGCCCTGGGTAGGACACTACAAGAAATAAGGTCAAATAACGCCTTGATGGGCGGAGTCGTTTTAGTTTTGGCTGGGGATTTTAGGCAAACTTTGCCCGTAATTACCAGATCAACAATGGCCGACTAGCTCAACGCCTGCCTCAAGGCGTCCTATCTCTGTAACAATATAACACAGCTTAAATTGAAGCAAAATACGAGGGCACAGCTAAGCGGCGATGCCTCGTCTAATATATTTGATCTGCAGCTTTTAGATGTCGGAAACGGCAAAATCAAACCAGACGAAATAACCGGACTCATTGAATTCCCAAAAGATTTCTGCTAATTAGTGAGAACCTATGACGAACTAAAAAGCAGTTTTTATCCTAATTTAGAAGCAAATTAAAAAAAATTCCTAATGGCTTTGTGAACGTGTAATTCTGGCTCCAAAAAATGAATTGGTTTTCAAATTAAACAATGAAATTCAAAACTTTCTACCAAGAGATAAGAGGATTTATAAGTCTGTGCTGGATACTGACCAGGCTCATTATCCGACCGAGTTTTTAAACTCCCTGCAACCCATCGGAATGCCTCTGCATGAGCTGACACTTGGATCTCCTGTTATTCTACTAAGAAACCTTGATCCGCCAAAGTTATGTAACGGTACCACTGTATTCACACATAATTGAAGCGACGATAATGAACTGATCTGGAATAGCTGAGGATGTTTTTATACCACGAATTCCACTAATTCCCACAGACCTCCCTTTTGATTTTAAGAGGCTACAATTCTCCGTAAGTTGGCATTCGCCATGAAGGTAAACAAAGCCCAGGGTCAGTTAATGTCCGTGGTTGGAGTCAATTTGGAAACCCATTGCTTCTATTACGGAAATTGTACGTTGCCTGTTCGAGGGTCGGAAATCCAAACAACATTTTTATTCTTACAGCAGAAGGAAAGACGAAAAATATAGTTTGCCAGAAAGCTCTTTTATAGACAGCTGCACCAAACTAAGGAAGATATACCATTTTGTATAATATAATTATAGAACAGCTCGACTTGCAGTTCGACACATTTTATTTGCGCTGCATGAAGTTCGAATTTAGAAGATATCAGGGCAGCTAAAATTGTCTGAGCAATTTCTGTATGTAGCATGTGTTAGTATATCAATAATTCCATAATTTCAGTGGACGCTGCTCATGCTAGAATAACATTATGAAACCTGATGATAGCTTGACATTTATCCCAAGAATTATAGCTATTTATGTATATATAATATTTAGATTTTTGTGTATTATGTTGTATTATCATGCTTACTATGTTATCACAATAAACTGGCTCAAAAGCTATCTGGTATGTAATGCGTATGGTTATGTTACAACAAAAAATATGAAAATGCATAATGATACTATCTTAGGATTAAACTCAATGCATTGTATCTATTTTAAGCAAACAAACGGATCTATATATTTTCTATGGCCTTTACATATTTTACAGCCCAAATGATTATTTTTATGGTCATAAAATGTAATCATTGGAGGACAATATAAGTATTTACATCGAAAAAATGTTGGGCTTTTAAGAAAAAGAGACTTGCGACATATCTGTAAATAATAAAGACTGAGTAAAATTGTATGAAAATACACTTATTAAATCTAACGTAGATTTTATTGTAATTCTGTAAAACGTTCACTATTAATGTTATTAGCATTGATTAAACCAGGATGTGTAAAGTTAACTTTAACTAAGGTAATACACAAAATGGATAACTTAGCCAGCATTTAGATTTTGTATCATTAAATATATTTTTAAATGATGTTTTAAAATTTACTAATATATATATATGTAAGTTAAAATATATGCTGTTTTATTATAATTGAATGTTCATTTAATTACATCAACTTTGTAACTTTGTTGATAAAATGTCTTGATTAAAATTTTATTGATAAATTAATAACAATCTAATGTGTAAAAATGTAAACAATTGAAGTAAATTGTAAATGCATTTCATGTAAATAAATTGTTTACAAATCTTTCCTTTTGCAAACTGAATGCACATTGTTTACTGATTGTTGAACCTGAATAATGTTTTTTCATACGATTTTCTCAATGTGGATCTCAGAAAAAAATCGACCATTAACCTCGATGCATACATGAGTCACCTTGCTCTTTACTTACTTACCGGCTGTTTTGTTTTTTAACTGGCCAGGGCGGCGCCTGGCCGGGACGTATGCAGATCACCAACGCTTATTATAGTAAACACATCACGAAAAAAAGAAAATATTTATTGCATGATTATACGATTGATACTTTATGTGCCAGTGTGTTGACACCTTTGTACAGAAGTAAAAATAGATTAGCCAAATAATTTTCAACGAACTTATTTTTTGGACAATATCATTGAAGTGTAACACAAACCAATGTACAATGAACTCATGCAAGCATTCAAGTGTGAAACTTTGTGCTATTTCCAGTTAATTAACAATTTTCCATGTGATGGATACTATATAAACAATATTGAATAGGACAATTAACGGTTCACAAAACAAATTTGACAACAGCAGTTTAACTAGTTAGAGTAAATATTGTACAAATTATTTATATTCTATATAATGCGAGCATTATATATATACATATATATATATATATATATATATATATATATATATATAATTTCGTATATTCTGGGCGCTTGCTAAAATTGAGTCACTCTATATCAAAGGCTCACAGCCAACAAGAAGTGAATTAGTAATTGAAGTAACATGGCCGTCTTGAATTGTGTCAATCTCAGCTGTCAAAGTGCAAGGTACCAGGCCCAACCACGGCAAACAAAAACACTCATCTGCATTCATTTCAAAACGCGTGAAGAACTCCCTGGGCTTGCATCGAAGACACCAACACATAGATCACCCAGAAAGCTAAGCCCAACAGGCAGGTCAGATATTTCGGCGTCTTGGGACCTCCCAGTTCCGCTTTACCAAATATAGTCATGTACCGTCTAACAACCAACATCACAATGGTGAAGACGGCACACACCGTAAAGACAGTCACGCTCATTCCAACGGTCCCTGTAGGGTGGACGAACTCTTTTCCCTGGGGAAAACAGATTGTTCAGGTTTTAATTTTTTATTTTAGTAATGAGAGTATAGATCGATTTATAGGTAGATAGATAGATAGGTAAGTACATAGATAGATAGATATACATAGATTAGATAGATAGATAGGGGTGTGTGGGTATACTGTTGATACCTTAATCTTCCAATAGATACTGGCTAGGAGCCAAGGCAAGCCAAGCCCCAGAAAGACATTGACGCTGTTACTGCCGTTGATATTTCCAATGGACGAATCGGCCCACTTCTCGTTGATTGCAGCACATTTGGAAGCAAACAAGTCTGGCATACTTGTACCTAGTGCCACGAAAGTTATCGCTGTAAAGGAAAGGCAATCTACGTCAGTAACTTTCTGTTATATCACAAATGTTATCGCAAATGACTGGAAAAAATGTGATATCCACTAACCTGTCGTTCGAACATGAGATATTCATCAACCTGCCGATCTTACCTGTGATATAATCCGACAACCCAACCAGACAGCCAAAGATGGAAGCCAGGTCACTAACAATGGCGGTTAGTAGTCCGACAGTTACCAGAGATGAAATAAACGTCGGCCAACCGCCGCCCATTGAGGGAGGGGGGAGGAAGGCAGCGAGCACCTGCAGAAAAAAAAACGGTTGAATGTATAGACGGTTTTTTTTTTTTGGTAGATGCTGTTTACTGGTGCATACTGTATCAGTTCTGTAGCGGACGTAGTACTTTTGTCAGCTTTTGTCGAGTGTCTATGTCTGACCATTGTATGATTAACCGTCTAACATGAGCCAGAACAAAATTCTATGTATTAAACCGCATGCTACACACCCCTACCTTCCAGAAAAACGTGATAAAATGTAGAGTGTAGTCTAGACAAGTGGCGTCCTGTACACCTCGATGTATTAACCCTATGCTAACCACCCCTACCTTCCAGAAAAACGTGATAAAATGTAGAGTGTAGTCTAGACAAGTGGCATCCTGTACACCCTGATGTATTAACCCAATGCTACCCACCCCTACCTTCCAGAAAAACGTGATAAAATGTAAGGTGTAGTCTAGACAGGTGGCATCCTGTACATCCCCGCCGTTGATGACCATTGCAGACCGGAACTGCTCGGCCCAGGTGCTCGTGTCCAGCTTGAGACCATCCAGGTTTTTCTTGGTCTTACTGGCAATACGGGTCAGCATGTTGTGGAACTCTGTGTCAGAGTAGGTGGTTGGTGTTAGGTGGGTGGTGTTAGGTGAGGTGGTTGGTGTTAGGTGGGTGGTGTTAGGTGAGGTGGTTGGTGTTAGATGAGGTGGTTGCTGTTAGGTGAGGTGGTTGCTGTTAGGTGAGGTGGTTGGTGTTAGTTACAGGTGAGGTGGTTAGTGTTAGTTACAGGTGAGGTGGTTGGTGTTAGTTACAGGTGAGGTGGTTAGTGTTAGTTACAGGTGAGGTGGTTGGTGTTAGTTACAGGTGAGGTGGTTGGTGTTAGTTACAGGTGAGGTGGTTGGTGTTAGTTACAGGTGAGGTGGTTAGTGTTAGTTACAGGTGAGGTGGTTGGTGTTAGTTACAGGTGAGGTGGTTAGTGTTAGTTACAGGTGAGGTGGTTGGTGTTAGTTACAGGTGAGGTGGTTGGTGTTAGTTACAGGTGAGGTGGTTAGTGTTAGTTACAGGTGAGGTGGTTGGTGTTAGTTACAGGTGAGGTGGTTAGTGTTAGTTACAGGTGAGGTGGTTAGTGTTAGTTACAGGTGAGGTGGTTGGTGTTAGTTACAGGTGAGATGGTTGGTGTTAGTTACAGGTGAGGTGGTTAGTGTTAGTTACAGGTGAGGTGGTTGGTGTTAGTTACAGGTGAGGTGGTTGGTGTTAGTTACAGGTGAGGTGGTTAGTGTTAGTTACAGGTGAGGTGGTTGGTGTTAGTTACAGGTGAGGTGGTTAGTGTTAGTTACAGGTGAGGTGGTTGGTGTTAGTTACAGGTGAGGTGGTTGGTGTTAGTTACAGGTGAGGTGGTTGGTGTTAGTTACAGGTGAGGTGGTTAGTGTTAGTTACAGGTGAGGTGGTTGGTGTTAGTTACAGGTGAGGTGGTTAGTGTTAGTTACAGGTGAGGTGGTTGGTGTTAGTTACAGGTGAGGTGGTTGGTGTTAGTTACAGGTGAGGTGGTTAGTGTTAGTTACAGGTGAGGTGGTTGGTGTTAGTTACAGGTGAGGTGGTTAGTGTTAGTTACAGGTGAGGTGGTTAGTGTTAGTTACAGGTGAGGTGGTTGGTGTTAGTTACAGGTGAGGTGGTTGGTGTTAGTTACAGGTGAGGTGGTTGGTGTTAGTTACAGGTGAGGTGGTTAGTGTTAGTTACAGGTGAGGTGGTTGGTGTTAGTTACAGGTGAGGTGGTTGGTGTTAGTTACAGGTGAGGTGGTTAGTGTTAGTTACAGGTGAGGTGGTTGGTGTTAGTTACAGGTGAGGTGGTTAGTGTTAGTTACAGGTGAGGTGGTTGGTGTTAGTTACAGGTGAGGTGGTTGGTGTTAGGTGAGGTGGTTGGTGTTAGGTGAGGTGGTTGCTGTTAGGTGAGGTGGTTGCTGTTAGGTGAGGTGGTTGGTGTTAGGTGAGGTGGTTGGTGTTAGTTACAGGTGAGGTGGTTGGTGTTAGTTAGAGGTGAGGTTGTTGGTCTTAGGTGAGGTTGTTGGTGTTAAGTGAGGTGGTTGATGTTAGGTGAGGTGGTTGGTGTTAAGTGTGGTAGTTGGTGTAGGTGAGGTGGTTGGTGTTAGGTGAGGTGATTGGTGTTAGATGAGGTGGTTGGTGTAGGTGAGGTGGTTGGTGTTAGGTGAGGTGGTTGGTGTTAGTTACAGGTGAGGTGGTTGGTGTTAGTTACAGGTGAGGTGGTTGGTGTTAGTTACAGGTGAGGTGGTTAGTGTTAGTTACAGGTGAGGTGGTTGGTGTTAGTTACAGGTGAGGTGGTTAGTGTTAGTTACAGGTGAGGTGGTTGGTGTTAGTTACAGGTGAGGTGGTTGGTGTTAGTTACAGGTGAGGTGGTTAGTGTTAGTTACAGGTGAGGTGGTTGGTGTTAGTTACAGGTGAGGTGGTTAGTGTTAGTTACAGGTGAGGTGGTTAGTGTTAGTTACAGGTGAGGTGGTTGGTGTTAGTTACAGGTGAGATGGTTGGTGTTAGTTACAGGTGAGGTGGTTAGTGTTAGTTACAGGTGAGGTGGTTGGTGTTAGTTACAGGTGAGGTGGTTGGTGTTAGTTACAGGTGAGGTGGTTAGTGTTAGTTACAGGTGAGGTGGTTGGTGTTAGTTACAGGTGAGGTGGTTAGTGTTAGTTACAGGTGAGGTGGTTGGTGTTAGTTACAGGTGAGGTGGTTGGTGTTAGGTGAGGTGGTTGGTGTTAGGTGAGGTGGTTGCTGTTAGGTGAGGTGGTTGCTGTTAGGTGAGGTGGTTGGTGTTAGGTGAGGTGGTTGGTGTTAGTTACAGGTGAGGTGGTTGGTGTTAGTTAGAGGTGAGGTTGTTGGTCTTAGGTGAGGTTGTTGGTGTTAAGTGAGGTGGTTGATGTTAGGTGAGGTGGTTGGTGTTAAGTGTGGTAGTTGGTGTAGGTGAGGTGGTTGGTGTTAGGTGAGGTGATTGGTGTTAGATGAGGTGGTTGGTGTAGGTGAGGTGGTTGGTGTTAGGTGAGGTGGTTGGTGTTAGGTGAAGCTCGGCCAACAGAATATGTTAATCAATTTCTGTCACTATATATACACGAAATAACACCTAAATCTAATTTTCAGTCACACGATCTGAAACCCCTCATCCCCTCCCCCTCATCTCACACCACGAAATACCGAACCCCCCCCCCCCCCCCCCCACTCATGAGTGTGGCGTCATTTATTGACGACCCCTAAACGTAGTTTAAAAAGTTACTTTTCAAGTGAAGCTATGTACAACTTCGCAATCTTGTAGTCAGTCATCGATGCACATTGGGTTTATCGACCACTTAAATTTACTTAAAGACTGATCATAAAATTACCAGCTGACTCAATACAATGAAATGTGACTTTAAATTAATTTTAGAACAGCTTTGATTTATTTCTAAACACATACATTCATTAGGGTGGCACTAAAGATACTATTTTAATGGCACTCTCTCGTGGTCAAATTACGCCATTTTGAATATTATTAAATTAGAAGGATCGATTAGACTCAAAGGATGGGTTATTTTAAGGACCCCTGTAAATGTCATTGACCTAGCGATCATCTATGGCACACCAGCGTGCTAGGCTGCAATTGCTGCCCTTTCCAGTGCTACTTCCGGATTTGATTGTATTTCAGTTCCATTCACATCGATCCAACCTGCGAGCGAACTTTGCCTTCAAGTACCGGCATGTTTTTAAATAGTTACACAGCAGTTTAGCAAACAAAACTAGATTTTGTTAATATTTATTAAAAGTTGCAAACCATTATCGGGTAACTTTATAAAATCTGGTTTTAAAAAATACAAAAATAAACCGGGAGTGATCTCCCCTAAACTTTCTCGAATATTCTTATATCAAATAACAGGGGATGGGAACTCGGGCTATAGACATGATTTTTAATCCATTTTAAATACTTAAAGTTTTAAAAATAGAATAAAATCTCGTAGACAAAAGATTGCACACCAAGTGAACGCTAAATTTAAAAAGTGCATAATAGTGCGCAATATTATTAGTACTTTAAAAATTTACATTAGTTTTTTTGAGAAATCGGAAGTAGCATAAATTAGTACTTCCGGGCAACGGAAATTACTCAAAATTTGACAGAAGGTAGAGAATTAGATTTTATACTTACATGTGAAATTTCATTTATCTATCTGAAATAGTACTCAAGTTATAGGCTTTTGAAAAATTCAAAGTAAAAAAAAAGTACCACTTCCAGTTATCGGAAATCGCTCAAAAGTTGATACGGATCTACGATTTTGATAAAATACTTATATATGAAATTTCATCAACCTAGCTGTAACGGTACTCATGTTATCGTGTTTACACACGGACAGACAGACACACAGACATACGGACAGAATTGCATAGCCCAGTTTTTCAGACTGGATTACGCATAAAACCTCTTAATTTTGATAAATCTGGATTGATAATTTTTGCCCGATTAAAATAAGTCCTCTATACTTTGGATGTGATGAAGGACTGAGGTGTAATACGGTGAAAATTGTTAAAATTTCAAGTGATTTTTGTGCACGATTACAATACTTTCTCTATACTTCGTATATACGAGAAAGTAAAAAGCAATTTACATAAACTTTGTGTTTTTATACTATTTATTATATGTGTTGTTTTTTCCATATAGGCATAGATTCTACACATTTTTAAAAATTTAATTGAAGTTTATTTTATATTCTGTCTTCATGTATACACAAATAATGTATAGTTCTATTACGGATTTCTTGATAGATAATGGTGGCTTACCTTCATCGTTGATTATAGTGACGACGGTTTTGGTGATTTTTCCCAGCAAGGCGCCCCCCGTAGCAGAACTTAACTCAACTTGAAAGTTAGGCTCTTGATCTTTCTGCTGCAATTAACAAGAATCTTTTAATTAATTACCGCAAAGTAGAAGATAATTTCAGAAAAAACTATTATAGTATATCTGCATATCAGTCTAACACGTACAATAACTATTGCCTTAGGAAAATTTATCTTTTCGTCTTCCAATTGACGGTTCAATGACAAATGATCTCAGGACAAATGATCTCAGACAAAATATCTCAGACAAAATATCTCACGGAAAAATGATCTCAGGACAAATGATCTCAAGGACAAATGATCTCACGGACAAAAGATACCAGGACAAAATATTTCAGGACAAATGATATCATGGACAAATGATCTCAGACAAAATATCTCAGACAAAATATCTCACAGCAAAATTTTAAAAGTATGTAAGATGATTTTAGTTGATTTGATATTTTTTTGTTGACTGTCAATATAGTTTTGTTTACTTTTTAACGCATAATAATTGTAAAGAAAATGAATTTGTTAAACTTAACAAAGTATCAATAGATTTATCAAACTTAATCTTTGTAATAGCATTTAATTTGAAAAAAGTAAAAATTAAAACAAACATAGTCCTTTAGCCTGAAAGGTATATAAATGATAATGTATAAAACAAATAAAGTAACATTAATGTTCAGAACACGCTAAATATTTTTGAAAAATGTGAATGGGTCTTCAGGTTTGTAACGTAATACAATTGTTTTTTTTTTTTGCAACATAAACTCAAACATAACGCTTACGTTTCTATGCCGGCAGGTACATCGTTATGATCACACCTCTCCAATACTATTTGATCATGCATTGTCTGAACTCTTGCTCGACTTGTTCTAACTTCATATTTCTAAATCTCTTTGCCTGCTGCTCCGCTAATGGCTTTAATAAACATAAATTCACCAGAAACTAGTGTCCTAAAAACCTTTCTTCTAGGTAACTACTGAGGCCATAGCTGAGTAAGCACTACCAATACTGCTTTGTTTGCAAGCACACTTCGACAAACTTAGCTCCGCGATGACCGCTGTCGTTTAAATAAGCTTTAGCCACCTGATCACTAAGGTGTGACCGACACATAACTATTGACTTTAGATGCTAGTTGTATTGTCCGTGGAGGGCGGTTCTCTTTCCCTACAAGCGTCTCTGCTACCAAAGCGGGCTGCCACCTTGATACGAAGGTGTGTCTTTATTGTTATTTCTTCATCCCCTTTTATCTAGTTTGTCCACCTGACGTGGTAGGATTGTCTCATATTTGTCAAGCCCACCTACGCTGTCTATCGAAAAAACAAGTTTAATCTTCGTATACTTGGTAATCTTCATTTTAAAATGCTTAGTGCAATATGACAAATGTATACGGTAAACATTTCTCACAATTATTATATAGGCCTCCAAACAATATCAAACATAGTAAACAAAACCATATTATGACAGTCAATAAAAAAATGTTAAGATCAACTAAAATCATCTAATACACTATTAAAATTTTGCTGCGAGATATTTTGTCTGAGATATTTTGTCTGAGATCATTTGTCCATGGTATCATTTGTCCTGATATATTTTGTCCTGGTATCTTTTGTCCGTGAGATCATTTGTCCTGAGATCATTTGTCCTGAGATCATTTGTCTTGAGATCATTTGTCCGTGAGATATTTTGTCTGAGATCATTTGTCCTGAGATCATATGTCCTGAGATCATTTGTCCTGTCACCTATTAATAACATGTTCAATGCCAAGTCTAAATAATAACCACAATGGGAATACATTAAGAATGAGATGTTCTACCAACAATGCACTTATAAGTACATTTAAGTAAACAAACTAAAGTATTGTAACTTTCAGAGAAAAAAGAGAGTTCCAAATGAAGAGAACGTACCATGATACCATTAATTTGTATTACTATAATTTTGCTCGTTTCTCCATGACTGAACGTGACCACGCCCTCCCCTCCCTCGTACTCGTGCCTGTTTCTGGCGGTCATATCTTTCGTCACCCATTTGACCGTGACCTCCCCATCGGCACCGTTGACCCTGTTGACCACTAGTCTGGCAGCGGAGGCGCTCTCTTTGACGATGTAGCTAGGTTTGCTGAACTCCAGGGTACCAGGCTCTAGAGAACATGCGGGTGAAGGAAAGCTCGGTTGGGATACATTTATCAATACAGCTTTTTAAATACATGACATAGGTAAAAACTTCATCGAGAGACCTTTCTCAATACAGCTTTTTAAATGCATGACATAGGTGAAATCTTTGTTGGAATACCTTTCTCAATACAGCTTTTTAAATGCATGACATAGGTGAAATCTTTGTTGGAATACCTTTCTCAATACAGCTTTTTAAAACATTACATGTTAAAATATCGACATACTTTTCACAATACAGTTTTTTTTTTAATACATGACTTAGATGAAAATTGTCAAAATACTTTTCTCATTATAGTTTTTTTTTTAAACATGACCTAGGCAAAAGCTGTTGAATATCTTTTTCATTACAACTTTTTAGAAACATGACCTTGGTAAAGAAAACTAGATCGAAATAACTTTCTCATTACAGTTTTTTTTTAAACGTGACCTGGGTAAAAATGTGTTGAAATACCTTTCTCAAAATAACTTTTTAAAATGCTCTCTTAGACATTAGCTACGGTGAACTAACCCTAGGTGACAAGGATCAAAACTTTAGTCCACAAACATTCTATAACATTAAACCAGCAGCTATAAACATTTATTTATATTTCTAATCTGTTAATTAAATGCAAACAACATGCCACAGGCAGGAAATAAATCATTTTGATCTGGGCTGGTTTTAAGATTGTTTTGTTATCAGCTAAAACAATATTGAAATGTTCTTTACTAAACCCGGACGTTTGATTAGGAAGTTAAAAAAACACACAAGGCAACTGGTTCTGGAGGAGGGGAGATAAACAATAGATCTAAAATTAGTAACACACCGTCATCGTCCACGATGGTGACCTGGTTGATGGCCAGCTTGCCAATGACCACCTCCTCTGTGCTGCTGCCCTCGGGGTGATGGAACAACTTGACGAAAAAAAACTCGTCCGGCTCCCAGACGTCGTCGTCCACTATCTCAATTGAAACATACTTGAGGGTTTCTCCGGGTTCAAAGGTCAACAGCTGCTTCATGGCTATATAGTCTCCACCTGCTTCGGCTGTGCCGTCTATTGTTTCAACGCTGTGAGGTACAAAGGGGGGAGAATATTATTTCATAAAGTTACATAGAATTGTACTATAGCATACTATACAAACATATTGTACAGAAGGTTTGGTGCACCCAGCACTCATGTTTACCTGGTGCATCCATGGATAGTTTGACAAGAAAATTTACCATATTGTTCATAACTTCGTGCAATAGCCCAATACAGTTTAGTTACCTGCCCAATACAGTCTCGTTTACAGACTTTTTTCTCCGGGGGATCGGGGGGGGGGGGGGAGCACGTAAAAATTTTGGGGGTGGGGGCGGACTAACATTTCCGGGGGACAGACACTGTTAAAAAAATATATTTTCTATATAAATTCCATTTCGCTCGTGGGGGGGGGGGTTAGACCTTCTTCGGGGGAGGGGGGCGGAGCCCCTCGAAGAGATGTCTGTTAGAAACTCTGCTAGTTTACCTACCCAACCATGATGGTCTTAGACAAGTCTCCACCACGCCTGATCCCTACTTTCACTTGACCTTCGTTCTCAAGGACGGTGCACGTGGCCGCTGTGAACTCCACGACAGCTTTCTTTGATTGGAGTATGACGTCATTCGATGATACGGCGCCGTTGACACCGTTGGGCACTCCGTCACTGTCTTTGTGTGCTGTGTGGGGGCTTGTACCTAGGTCTACGAACTTCTGTGGACAAATGTGGACATTGTAATGTCATTAGATCTACTGGGTTATGGCCGTGTACCTAGGTCTACGAGCATATGTGGACAAATGTGGACATTGTAATGTCATTAGATCTATTGGGTTATGGCCGTGTCCCTAGGTCTACGAGCATATGTGGACAAATGTGGACATTGTAATGTCATTAGATCTATTGGGTTATGGCCGTGTCCCTAGGTCTACGAGCATATGTGGACAAATGTGGACATTGTAATGTCATTAGATCTATTGGGTTATGGCCGTGTGTGTCCCTAGGTCTACGAACATCTGTGGACAAATGTAGACATTGTAATGTCATTAGATCTACTGGGTTATGGGGGCTTGTACCTAGGTCTACGAACATCTGTGGACAAATGTGGACATTGTAATGTCATTAGATCTACTGGGTTATGGCCGTGTGTGTCCCTAGGTCTCCGAGCATCTGTGGACAGTTTTGTCATTAGATCTACTGGGCTATGAGGAGTATGATTGTACATCTGTGGACAAACCTGTAAGATTTACTGTTATCGGATGTACTGAGCTATGTGAGCCTAGTATTCACAGAATGTTGTCTCACTCAGCAAAATTTTTAAAAATATTGACTAGATTTTAGGAAACTTACGAGACAAAACTATCTGAAAACTTACAGGACATGACAGCACTAAACAAAGGGACAAATTACGTTAGAAGTTGAATGAGAAAGAGAAATTTGATAACAAGCTAAATATGACACTTAAGTTAGGATTGTTTCTACAGGTGAAAAGTGGTACCAACCTCTGTCAGACTAGATGTTGTCGACTCCAGTTTGTGACGTCCGGTGATCATTCTGGTGGCATTGACCCTGTACCAGGAGGATGGTTTCGGCTGGTTCCTGGCAATACCAGAGGCGACAGCTCTAGCCACATCGTCTTCGTTAGCGTTGCTGTCTTTCGCCAGTTTCTTTTTTTTTTTAGAAAACACAAGTTAGCTCAAATAGAATGGTTCTCAGGGCAAATATAGATCTTAAAAACATGTTGAAATGTTAGGTGTCACATAACTCGGAAAAAGAAAGTGAGGGGGGTGGGAGAGATGTGGCACAGCATAATTTTCCATTTCTTATAAATAAAAATGAAGTTTTAAATTTGAAATTATGTTGGAATGATGTTTGGGGAGGGGGTTGTAACTCCGTAGTTTCGTGGAGTAGGAGTGAAAATTAACAAAATTCATGACGTCTTTCGCGGGCTACACCTTGAATGTAGTGATAACGTTCATGGGCGACCCCTTAACTGTAGTGAGAATGTTTATGGTGACCCCTTGACTGCACTGATAAAGTTTATGGACGACCCCTAATTGCTATGATGAACCCAATGGGATCTCCTTACCCGCGCCAGCTCTATAATATCCGCCGACCCTCGACTGTGCGGGCCACTCTTGTCCAGATCTGGGGTAGAAAACAATGGACGTTTACAAACACTGGCACTCAGTGATTTTAACTCAGCCATGATTTTAATGCTAAAAGAACAGTCGTTTTTAAACAAATCAAGAGATGAGTTCGTGATAGTAGTGTAAGTTTTATGTGTTGAATCCCTGCTCGTTTGGCTGTATACTGTGTGACTTAACTAATAAAAAATAACGTTCATGGTTTCCTTATCGATGTGTTATGAAAATAATATTTTAAATTTTAAATATTTAATCAAACTAACTAAACGTTTTCAACAAAGATTTCGGTTTAACTACGGACTGGGTTTAATATGGATATAATTTTCATGGCTATTTATTTATATAAAGAATACACCAGAATATAATTAAACTTACCAAAGCCAATCTCGACTTCTGATGATGTTCTGTTCTTGACGCATACGATTCCTTTATCTGCTAAATACGCACTAACAATGAGCAATGGAAACATGACAAATGTGAGAACGGCCTCCCATAGATCCACAACCTCGGGTGATATGACCAGGAGAACCAGTAAAAGCCAAACGTAGGCGAAAATCCCAAAGATGCTCGTCACAATGAACACGAAAAAGTGTTTGATTTTTCTGTAGATTAAGGTTAAATGTTAGTCTTTTTTAAAGAGAAAGTAAACACATTGAGGTTAGATACGATAACATCAACTCAACAAGCTCTATTGAATAGGATTCTAAGGTAGGGGAGGGGAGATGGGACATGTATACATCACGTTAAGACGCGACTCTCTCCTGTCTGCAATTTTTCTTCTGCAGGCATGGAAGCCAACCTGACGTAGGTATGTCACTGCTAGTTGATCCACCGCGTGAGATCGAATTTTCGGGCTTAAAATCGAACTCTGCTTCGTGAGTTAACGAATGAATAACCTCTGAACTTGTTGTTATGAGAGTTCCTGTAACATGGCCGCCACTTCCCTCCTCATACACACTGCAAGCAGGTTGTGGTTGTTTGCTCAAGGTTTTCTATTTATTTGTATCGATTTAAAAAAAAGTAAAGTTTCCCTTTCAAACCTGACGGTCTATGGGGCAAGTGAAGTAGAGTTCACTTGTTTCTGTGACCTCGGCATATGAAGAGATAATGTGGTAAGCACTATGCCCAGAGTTTCTTCCAGGCATCTCTTCGGGGGGGCGAAGCCCCCCCGAAAAATTTTTACCGCCCCCCCAAACGAAAGGAAATTTATATAATTTATATAGAAAATATATACTTTTAACAGTGTCCGCCCCCCCGAAGAAAGTTTACCGCCCCCCGGAGATTTCAAGTGCCCCCCCGGAGAAAAAAGTCTGGAAGAAACACTGACTATGCCCAGCCGCCTTTACTCTCCCTAACGTGAGTTAGGTACCCATCAGAGTTGGGTCGACTCTGTATCGAGTAGTCTCCCTTGAATTAGAAGAGCAGTGAGTCAGACTTACCTAGTTTCCCCGTGTGGGATGCATACAATACAGTAGGCTGTGATGACAAACAGGTTAAAGGCCGCTGACCCCACGATTGTCCCTGGGCCCAGCTCCCCAGCCTGGAAGGAGTGACCGCACGTCTCGATAACGTTGAGTAGAATCTCCGGGGCGCTGGTACCAAAAGCTAAGAGGGTCAAATTCGCCACCGTATCGTTCCATACCTGCTCATGTGGTATAAATTACGATACATCCAACAAAGTCGAATACATGAATACAAAAAATAAAAAGTAAATCTCCCTAGGGCAAGTGAAGTAGACTTCATCTATTTCTGTGACCTCGGCATATTAAGAAATAGTGAAGTCAGAACTATGCCCAGCTGCCTATACTTTCACTAACGTGAGTTAGGTACCCATCAGAGTTGGGTGGACTCAGGGACTATCTGCTGACTTGTACACGGATTCAAATTGGTGTCCACAAAACTCATACGTGACTCATGCTACGGAATGTAAAGGCAGCTGAGCATAGTGCTAACCAAACTATACGTTTATATTCCGATGTCAGAGAAACAGGTGAACTCTTATTCACTTTCCCCACGCACTGTCAGGTTCGAAAAGGAACTTTACCCTGGCCAACATTTTATCTTTAGACATTTCTGGGAGAGAGGACGGGGCTTTAGTGACGTTGCTAGGTGAACAAACACAATAACAACTTTTAAACTATTTCAATTTTACGTGTTTTTAGCACTTTTTAAGGCTTAAATTGTAATAGAAACTCATCAATATAACTGATCTAAAGCAAGCTGTGTAAATATTATATAAGAAAATTGCTATTTTAAAAACACTTGAAAATTGTCGGGTTATTTTAGTGATAATCTGGTTATTTGTGACAATAGAGGGGTGCGACGTCATTTAAGAACAACTCTAAAGTTATTTTACTGGCTGTGAATGTATTTCAATAAATTAATCTTGTTTGTCTACTGAAATGATTAAATTCAATGGATATTGTTGCTAAAGCTTAAACTCGCTGACCGAGAACGGATAAAGGTGGGGCCCTGCGAACCTATTGTGTAGTTCCTCATCAGTATAAACAAGTGTTTGTGTCAGTATCGATCCATAGATTTCCCATTGATCGATCTGAACTCTTACTATTTTTTTTTCTGGTAGTTTTTGGTTGTTATTTTTGGATGACGGCATGTAGTGAGGAATCCCAAGCCGATTTGGGTGATGTATCGGGCTAAGGCTGAGATGTGGAATTCTCGCTCTGACAAGTTTTATTCTAGGGCTCATTATCCAGTCACAGCCCATTGTCCAGTACCACATTGTCCAGTACCACATTGTCCAGTACCACATTGTCCAGTACCACATTGTCCAGTACCACATTGTCCAGTACCACATTGTCCAGTACCACATTGTCCAGTACCACATTGTCCACACACCACATTGTCCAGCATCACATTGTCCAGTACCACATTGTCCAGTACCACATTGTCCACACACCACATTGTCCACACACCACATTGTCCAGTACCACATTACCCTGTACCACATTGTCCAGTACCACATTGTCCAGTACCACATTGTCCAGTACCACATTGTCCAGTACCATATTGTCCAGTACCACATTGTCCAGTACCACATTGTCCAGTGCTGTCCGAATAGTATAGTAATAAAATGTCGGCTTTAGTCGGGACACTCCATCAATACATTTCTCTTTTACTGCCGAACCCAACGATTTTTGCATATCAGTATGTGTTATATATATATATATATATATATATATATATATATATATATATATATATATATATATATATATGTATGTATTTATAAATCAGAGAAATAATTGGAGCTGTTTATCAGGTTATTTTCCAAGCTCATTAACACATGGGCCTAAGCTCCCGCCAATTCAGTAACGTCGCTAGGATTTTTGGGCCTTGGGCCCCTATGCAAAAAGTGTTAGTGGGCCCCTCAGAGGCGTAGCGACTCTTCCCGGCGACCGGGGACAAACTTTCGATGTGCACCCCAACCCCCTCAGACTTTCGATTTGCACCCCCCCCCCCAGACTTTCAATTTTCACCCCCCTCAAACTTAAGATGTGCACCCCCCCCCCCTCTCAACCTTTCGAAAAAGGGCCCCTATTTGCCTTGGGCCCCTATGCCTTGCTTACGCTAGCTTTTCGGTAGCTACACCACTGCGCCAATCTCATGTTTCAAATGAATGATGGAATGTTGAAATAGATGTACACAATTATTTCACTAGCTGTCCAAAATTTTGTTTAAAACTTAACAAAATCACATTACACATCAGGTTAAATAGTTAGTAAAGATTAATGTGGTTTTACAAATAAATCCTTACCTTGACTTCAATCAGTTTAAAGCCTTCTCCTTCCGGATTAGGTATCGATATCGTTCTCGTTTTACTAGTGATGTGTTCGATACCGCACATAAAAGCGTCCGATACTATTGCGATACCAAAGAAACACCACAACATTGCGAGTACATAAAGAAACGCTCGAACATACGGGTTCCATGTGTACTCGTTGATAAAGGGAAGTAGAAGACCCTTATCACTACACAAATAGTGACTGACATCACACGTAGTGTTAAACATTGTACTCAGGTTCTTCTATCCGATAACTGAGAAGTTTTATGTTTCACTTGAGGTCTAAATCTCATCTTTTCTTAAATATAAATCTCATTTGGTTTTTGTGAAACGGGTTAGTGAAATAAAATGTAGATAACCTAAAGTAATCGTCAAAGTAATAAAAATTAATCCACATGTTAATATAAAAAACTTATGTTTGAAAACAAACATCATGTAGTTGATAGCTTGTGTTCCATTTTATTTGGTCTTAGATTATCTTCATGAAAAGGTTTGTCCTTTTGGGAATTCTCGCCTGTAAAAAAAAAAAGAATGTGAACGTGATTATCAAAAGTTCTACACAATTTAATCACTTTTTTGCTTTAATATTTCTCAGAAAAACACTAGCTGGAAACGTCGTTTACAATCTACTATATTAAACGAAAGGCAATTGATTTATTTACTTAATGATGTGTCAAAAGCCAGATAAAACTCTATACCATC